GCTCCTGAGTTCCCCGAGGTCCTCAGCTGAGCGGGACGGCGGGGGCAGTTTCATTTCAGTGCGGTGAATGGGGTAAGCAGAGCCCTGCAGGCGTTGGGAAGGAAGGCATGGTCCAGGAGGGGCCAAGAGGACCGGGATGCCTGAGGCAGAAGGGCGCGAGCCCTGGGGGAGACGAAGGAACATCTGGGGTGTGCTTCACTCCCTCACTGCCACTGAGTGACTTCCGATGCGTGCATGCATCGGCGGCGGCCCTGGAGGGCAGAGCAGCCACTGGCTCTGAGGCTGTCCATCTTCACGGGGTTCGAAAGCCTCCTCGTTCTCCCGTGGAAGAGGCGGCAGCTGGTGCCTTCACCACCGTGGCCCGGATACTTAGTGGCCCAAGTCCTAAACCACCACACCCCCAGGACTTAGTCGGGGCCACAGAACAGACGAGGGATTTGTCCCTGGGAGAGCCAGGTGGACAGATGCAAACCCCCTGGGGACCTTTGCCACCATCAGAAGGCAGCAGGTGGTGACCACCTGGGGGCCATGATTCCCTCTGTAGGACCAGACAGAGGGGACTTTCTGACATCTCTCTTTTCTCTCCGCTGTTCTTCTGCCCCCAGATCTCCGCAGACAAGAAAAACCTGGGGCGGTTCTGTGGGCAGCTGGGTTCCCCGCTGGGCAACCCTCCTGGGAAGAAGGAGTTCTTGTCCCAAGGGAACAAGATGCTGCTGACCTTCCACACGGATTTCTCCAACGAGGAGAATGGGACGGTGATGTTCTACAAAGGCTTCCTTGCCTATTACCAGGCTGTGGGTGAGTGGTCCCGCGAGGAAGCCCCCATTTCTGGCCTTGGCCGTCTTGATCAAGGGCCCAGTAAATGAGCAGCTTGAATACGAAGGAGCCAGAATCCTCACCTTGTGTCTTCCTCCCCTCAAGAGAACTTCTTCCAGAAGTCTGCCAACATTGGCTCTCCCCCATCGGGGAGTTCCACGAGGTCCCAGTGGCCTCTGGCGATGGACCTTTCTGAGACCAGAGCCCGACCGCCCCCTCCCAGATCCCTCCCTGGCAGGAACTTCACCCTTGCCTCCCGAATGCCTTCCAGACCTTGACGAGTGTGCCACCCAGCTCAACTCTGTGGAAGAGGCTGCCCAGCCCCTGTGTCGGCACCTGTGCCACAACTACGTGGGCGGCTACTTCTGCTCCTGCCGGCCAGGCTACGAGCTTCAAGCAGATGGGCATTCCTGCCAGGGTGAGGGCGCGTGGGTACGGGAGGGAGGCAAGGACGACCGCCAGGCTTGCTGGGTCCGGGGCAGGGTCTGCTTGTGACCCGGGCCCGACTCTGCCCTCCCCTCCCAGCGTCCTGCGGCAGCGAGCTGTACACTGAGCCCTCGGGCTACATCTCCAGCCTGGAGTACCCCCGGCCCTACCCCTCGGACCTGCGCTGCAACTACAGCATCCGGGTCGAGCGGGGCCTCACCCTCCACCTCAAGTTCCTGGAGCCTTTTGAAATCGATGACCACCAGCAAGTCCACTGCCCCTATGACCAGCTGCAGGTACATCTGACCTCCTGAAGGGCCTCTTCCTCTCCTTCCCGTCCCCCTCTGGCTGCTCCCTTCCCCCGCTGCCTCCTGTGTCCTCCGGGGACAAGAAAGACCAAGGTTACACGTGGGCTGGGTACGTTCCTACCCCCTACCCACGCGGGCCCTGGCAAGTCCTTTCCCCCTTAAACTGAAAACACCCCCAAAGCAGGATTCCCAGCACCTCTAGCCACAAGCGATGACCCAGGTGGCCCTGGGGGAAGTGGCCAAGATGGGGCAATGACCGTCATTCCTCCCCTCCAGATCTATGCCAGTGGGAAGAGTATCGGCGAGTTCTGTGGCACGCAGAGGCCCCCCGACCTGGACAGCAGTGGCAACGCCATAGATCTGCTCTTCTTCACAGATGAGTCCGGGGATAGCCGAGGCTGGAAGCTGCACTACACCACGGAGAGTAAGCTGGCGTGGAGGCTTCTATTGCCGGACAGGGTTGGGTGGAGGGAGCAAGGAGCAGGGAGTCTGAGATAAACATGCCCTCTGGTCTCCCCAACAGTCATCAAGTGCCCCCAGCCCAAAACACTAGACGAGTTCACCATGATCCGGGACCTACAACCCAAGTACCAGTTCCGTGACTACTTCATTGCCTCCTGTAAGCAAGGCTACGAGCTCATGGAGGTGAGAGCCCAGGGCTGGAGAGAGAGCTGGGCCAGCAGGTGGGGAGTCATCCCGGTGACAAGGGTCACCCGCCCCACTGGCTCTCAGTCTTGGCTGCACATGAGAAACACTAACAAAGTTTTAAAGATACGGATGTCTGGGTTGCCCGCTAGAGTTTCCGACTCCACTGGCCTGGAATGGCGCAGTGGACATTGGGATCATTTAAAGCTCTCCAAGTGATTGCAATGTGCAACCCACTTTGAGAACCACTGGCCTCCTCCAATAGCTCGGTTTAGAATTAGGCGTTGAAAAGGCAAAGGTGGAAGTGGCTTCAAAGAGTGGTATGCTCAACAGCACACAGGGATTTGCTGTAGAGCAGAGACCAGGACACAAGCCCGCCTCTTGCTCCAGGAAGCACATTGGTAGTCTCACTTCAGGCCACCCTCCTGTCCTCCGCTTTGCAGACCCAGGAAAGAACTCGGCTTTATCACCGTGTTCAGTCCCCTAAAAACAGAACCTGCAAGGCTATTTGTAACCCATACTATTAGGGTTATCCCTGGCCAGGTAGCCAGGCCTGGACACCCCCTCCTTGTTTAATAGATCCTCCTGAAAAACAAAGGCGACTCAGAGAAGAGATGGACAGTATGTCCCTAAGTGGCCATTAATTCCCTCAACAAATATTTCAAGTGCCTACTAAGTGCCACGCGGTGTTCCAGATGCTGGAGATGCAGTATTCAAAAACACGCGTAGTTACCCAGTCTTTGTGGAGCAGACATTTGAATGTCTCCTCAAGCCACCTCAGCCTGGTGAATCGTCCCTTGTTCCAGGACACTGCCAGTCCCATCAGAAGGTCCGGAAGACTAACAGATGCTTTGCTCCCTTTCAACGCCACCAGCACCTTTCCCTTTGCACTGGCCGTTCACATAGATATAATGAATGTAACGCAAGTCCCAAGTCCCAAGCATCTTTGGGAGGTGCTAAGAGACACTAGCATTTTGGGAAAGGCTGGGAGAAGTAAACTGATATTGGCATCACCTGGGGCACATTCCAGAAGGATGAGGGATATGGTTCTGCTTCAGAGCGGGGTCTTTTGTTTCCACACAAAAGAAACACAACCTCCTTTGTTTTGTTTATTATTCATTATTATTTGGTTCAGTCCCACAACAGCTGGGAAACTAGAGTACTACTTAAAAACACATACTATTAGCGTTATCCTGGGCCAGGCACCCAGGCCTGGACAGCCCCTTCTTATTGAATGGATTCACCTGGAAGACTAATCAGACTCAGAGAAGAGACGTATAGGATGTGCTTGAGGAATTCCACTGGGAAACGTCTAGCAGGGGTCCTCAAACTTTTTAAACAGGGGGCCAGTTCACTGTCCCTCAGACCCATTGGAGGGCCGGACTATAGTTTTAAAAAAAACTATGACCAAATTCCTATGCACACTGCACCTATCTTATTTTGAAATAAAAAAACAAATGGGGCAAAAACACCCAGCGGGCCAGATAAATGTCCTTGGCGGGCGCATGTGGCCCGCAGGCAGCAGTTTGAGGATCCCTGGTCTAGAGAGACTATTGGGTCTAACAGTTAGCCCTTGCTCGGTGTGTGAGTCGTTGATCTTGTCTATAACTATAACTCTGGTTGGGGAGGGCAGGCTGGGGAGAAGGAATGAGCTCACATCGATGGGCGGGGCCGGGGGGGCTGAGGACTGAGCCCTTGAGAGATGTCTTCTCACTCCTTGTCATCCCTACGCAGGTAAGAGACAGAAGGGAGTCACCGCATCCCTTTTATTAATGGTGCCTCTGCCTTTGCTCCAACAGGGAAAGCAAGTGCTGACATCCTTCACAGCTGTTTGCCAAGATGACGGCACATGGCACCGTGCCATGCCCAGGTGCAGGAGTAAGTCAGGGCTCAAGCACATGTCTGCCCCAGGGACCTCCCAAGCCCAGGCTGAGGGACCTACAGGGAGGGAAGGAAGAGGGGGACACTTCCTTCCTGTGTCCTTCAAATCTTATGGCCGATCACAGGAACACATGAACCTCCATCTCAGCCCAAGGGCTCTTCCACCCAGATTAGAATGTTACTCTATCTAATTCCCATCCATCTCCAGCGTCCTTCCCGGGGAGCATACTTCTCTCACGTGACTCTGTGTTCTTTCAAAGTCAAGGACTGTGGGCAGCCCCGAAGCCTGCCTAATGGGTACTTCCATTACACCACCACAAGGGGAGTGCACACCTACCAGGCGCGCATCCAGTACTATTGCCATGAGCCATACTATAAGATGCTCACCAGGGCCGAAAGCAGTGAGTTGGAAAGAGGTAAGAGTCTGGAGCCAACAACCCCTGAGATTCCCCCCAATTCTTTTTTTTTTCTTTCATTTTACTAGGGGCTCATACAACTCTTATCACCATCCATCCATCCATCCATTGTATGTCAAGCACATTTGTGCATTTGTTGCCCTCATCATTCTCAAAACATTTTCTTTCTACTTCAGCCCTTGGTATCAGCTCCTCAGTTTTTCTCCTCCCTCCCTCCACCCTTTCTCCCTTCTTCCCTCCTTCACGAACCCTTGATAATTTATCAATTATTATTATTTTGTCATATCTTACACCGTCCGACATCCCCCTTCACTCACTTCTCTGCTGTCCATTCCCCAGGGAGGAGTCTATATGTAGATCCTTGTAATCTGTTCCCCCTTTCTCCTCAATTCTTAATCCTTAGGGGATATGCATTGGAGCAGGGGTGTCAAACTGGCTGCCTGTGGGCCCATGTGGCCCCCGAGGTAATTTTTTGTGGCCCTTGATGCTCTGGAATAAAATGAAAATAGAAAAAAAATTGTTATGAAGAAAATAGCGCTTAGGGGAGATCGAGACAATACTGTACACAGAATTCCCTTGTTAACCCTTTAACTACTGAAGACGAGTCTACACGTAGCCCAGTGCCTTCCCTGGGGGCCTGTGGATGTGGATAAACGTGCTGACTCAGTTCCAGTGATGTTTGGACGCCATGTGTCTGCCACTCTCAGTGTCACGTCATGTGAACAGATCCCCATAGTGAAAAGGTTAAAAAGAGCACTCTGGGTTGTGCTGGTATGAATCATACCTTGTGGCAGCGTGAGTTAACATTTTTAGAGGGAAGCCATTACGATTGTGCATCACGTTTGTCAGCTGTCCAACATTTTGTGTTTTTTATTAGTTACTTTGTTATATTTTCTGGTCACAACATAAGAGGTAAGTGAAAACTAGTAGGAGGAAAGAGCTGGCAAGTTTCGGGGGAAAAAGAATAATTTTAGTTTTATAAATACATTAAATAAAATAAATGTTTAAATAAAAGCAATTATATAGTGTCTTAATTATCCTATCCATATTCCTGAATCCTCACGTCAAACTATAAATTTAACAAAATTTGTAAATGTGATGTGGCCCGCGTGAATCTTGCCTGTTGCCCCAAATGGCCCGCGTTTTCATGGAGTTGGACGCCCCTGCATTGGCGTGTTGGGCCAGGGCACTGGCTTAAGGGGCCTAAATCACAAGGCCAGGAGGCATCTGGTAGACTTGAAAAAGGAGGCAACTGGGTGGGGTTTTTTTAACAGTTCCCTATTATCACCATTACCAACACCATCCCCATGATCACCAACACCACAACTACCGTCATGACCTTGACCATGACCGCTGTCCCAACGCCAGCAGTAACACATCGCCATCACCTCCCCCGTCCTCCTCCTTATTGTTATCATCACAACTGTGGCAACGCCGTCCTCGGGCTATGGGGTTGCAATTTATCGCAAGTAGGTATGCTGGTACTCTCAAGTTCACCAGCGGCTATCTTTAAAACCTATTTTAATAAAAGGAATTAGACGCATTATGCATTTGAAACGAATGAAAACGGAGGGGGGGATCTAGATTATAGAAGGTATTAGTTAAGAGCTGGACTTTAGGGTTAGCTCACCCTCTTGGTTCTGGGACTTAAAAGTTTCATGACCTCGGGAAAATTACTTAAGCTAAATGTCTTCATTTATAAAATGAAGACACTGTGAAAACATACCTCAATATGTCACTGTGAATATCCAATGCACTTACACAAATAACGTGCTTGATATACGGTCAGCAATCAGAAAACATTAGCTACCTTTAGTATCATAATCTCACTACCAAAATGCAAGCATGAATACGATGTCGGCAAATTTGGTTTTTATGCCTACTTTCCTGAAAAGGGATAATATCAAACATATGGCTATACATTCATAAAATGCATGAGCTTCTTAACGCTTTCCAGAGTCTATCTTTGTCTAGCTGTGTGCCTGATGGTCCTTGGCCATGCCGAGTCCTTATCTCTGCTGTCCAGTGTTGTGCACTGACCTCTCACCTATCGCCACCCTGCTCAATCCTCTCCTCCTCTCCTCTCCTCTCAGGGACGTACACCTGCACAGCCCAAGGCATTTGGAAGAATGAACAGGAAGGAGAAAAGCTTCCCCGGTGCTTGCCAGGTGAATGGGAACTCCGGGGGCCATTCTCGGTGTCTTTTGCAATCCGGCGTGCTCTCTGAAGAGCTAGGGCACAGAGAACGGAGAGAAAGGGAGGAAGGAGAAAAGTCAAAGATCGAGATGTGGAGTAAGGACCCCAGAAAGGGGAACATCCGGAGAGAAAGGCACCTAGAGGACCAGGGTCAACATTGGCATTCTCGGAGTCTCACTGGGAGAACAGGAGGTCTGCTTTACTCCCCCCACACCCGCCAACTTAAAAAGAGAGAAAACGTGGCCAAGAATACACACTCCCAAGAAAAGAGGTTGACAACAGCCCAAAGAAGGAAGTGTGGGAACGGGAGGAGGAAGAGGGAAGGGACAGGCCAATAAGAAAGGATGCAGTGGGGAACGGAATGACCACAGAGAGCAGGGAGGGACAGAACTGGAGCTGACCTGGCCTGGCCTCTCTTTCTCTCTTCTCCAGTGTGTGGGAAGCCAGTCCACCCAGTGGAATCCAAACAGCGAATCATCGGAGGGCAGAGGGCCCGGCCAGGCAACTTCCCCTGGCAGGCGTTCACCAACATCTACGGGCGAGGCGGGGGGGCCCTGCTGGGTGACCGGTGGATCCTCACAGCTGCCCATACTCTCTACCCCAAGGACCACTCCGCACAAGGCAACGCTTCTGTGGATGTGTTCCTGGGCCACACCAGCGTAGAAGAGATCATGAAACTGGGGAACCACCCCATCCGCAGGGTCAGCATCCACCCAGACTACCGTCAGGACGAATCCAACAACTTTGAGGGGGACATTGCCCTGCTTGAACTGGAAAATAGTGTCACCCTGGGCCCCAACCTCCTCCCCATCTGCCTGCCTGACAACGATACCTTCTACGACACCGGCCTCATGGGCTACGTCAGTGGCTTTGGGATAACAGAGGAGAGGATCGTTTCTCACCTCCGGTTTGTCCGTCTGCCTGTAGCCAGGCGAGAGGCCTGTGAGAAGTGGCTCCAAGGAAAACAAAGGAACGATGTGTTTTCTCAGAGCATGTTCTGTGCTGGAGACCCGAGTCTAAAGCAGGATTCCTGCCAGGGGGACAGTGGTGGGGTCTTTGCAGTGAGGGATCCCAACAGCGATCGCTGGGTGGCCACAGGCATTGTGTCCTGGGGCATTGGGTGCAGCAGAGGGTATGGCTTCTACACCAAGTTACTCAGTTATGTAGACTGGATCAAGAAAGAGATGGGGGAGGATGGCTGAACCCCGGGCTCCCGAGGTCCGGATCCGGAGGGCGGTGTGTAAAAGAACATGATCCGACCAGGTATTGATCACCACCAAGAGCCCGTATTAAAACCACTGACGCAGAGCAACACGGTGTTCAATCCATTTTGTTTCTTGAACGCTTCTCCACGCCCTTTCCCGGACACAATCCAAAGAGCACCGCTCCTCCCCCCAGCACTCCGGAGAGTGTTTTCCCAATCTCTCGTTGTCATTTTTCCTCCCCGTTTTCAGATCGTTGAGTGGTTGCCTAAAACTTTTGCCAAATAAAGATTCACGAGAAACAACAGCCTATCAAGTGAGTAGACCAGTTGGCCAGCGGCCGTCATGCTGACCCCAGCTCCGGGGGCCCTCGCATGTGCCAGAGTGGAATTGTGCACAAGGGCACTTTCGATGATTGGTCTTTCAGAGGTAGCTTGTCAGAACTTGCTCCTAAGGCCCCTCTGAGTGAACTCAGCCCCCACCCTTTTGGCTTTCCGCCAAGTGCATTTGTACGGCCCAAGGACTTTCGATGAGTCAGGATGGTAATTAATTAATATGAAAATGTTTATGATCCTATTTAAAATATTTACTTAGGGAGATCATGAGAATAACTTAGCTTATACACACATTTACAATTAGGATTATGAGTACCCACTTTTGTATTTTGTTTTGAAGTCACAATATATAGAAAATTCTGGGTTTTCTCACATACATAGCTGTCAATGTCACAGCTGCTCGATTTTTGGTCCCTCCTTTTGCAAGCTTTAAGGATTTTTTTAAGAGAGGAGTACTATGAAATATTTATTTCCAAGTTGAATCACTAACAATATTTTAAAATCACTTGTATTTCCTATCATCTATTGAATGTTCAGAGAAAGATCCAAACTTTGACATGAGCATTGACCTCTATTTATGATAGACTATTCTCAGGGTATTATTACACAGCTAACTGGACTTGTCTGAACCATTTCACAGGAGCCAACATAAACAGGTGTGAATTCAGAAAGAACAGTGTAGAGTTCAAACCTCCCCAAGTCATCAAAGCAGCGACATCATCTCACCCCAGCACTAATAGCAAAGTCGAAAAAGAAAAAGAAAGAAATCAAATGTTGTCCATGGTATAGAAAGATCTGAGCCTCATACAAAATGCCACAACCCCTGAGGGACATTATATGATGTTTCCTTTTAAAAATTAGAAATAGAAATCATGCTGGAGTCCAAAAGAAAGGCAAATGGATATGGAGAGCCCAGGGAGGAGTGAGAGGGGTGCCGTTATATTGCGAGAGTTACAGTAATGTCACAAAGCAAAATGTGTATCAGTTGTGAAATGGAAAACTAGCTTGCCATGTAAACTTTCACCCAAACCACAATTTAAATTTGTTTTAAATTTCCCAATTAGTGACAAGTTTGTAAGTCTACATACAGGCCCGTAATCTTTTATTGGAAACCCTCAAGGCCAAATGTTGTGGTCTACTCAAGATTTTAGATCTTAGAAATGTTATCTACTGCTATGGATCGTCGCTCCCTGGAATGAAGCAGCTGAGTCATTCTTTGGGGAATTTCTTTTGAATATTCACAGGAGGGGAGATAAATGAATATTTTCAATCACTGCCCATCGGTTCAGGTCTGGTTTTGTCGCTAAATAACTAAATACGTTTTGTTGCCTACAAAGCACTGTCAGTTCTTGGGACACTTAAGATTTCCCCAAGACAGACCTGTATATGCAGAGATGACAGAAGTAAACATTTTCTCATAATTTACCCAAATGGTGTTCAATATATTTGAAGAGCATACTTTTCTCTCTCTTTCTTTTTTTTGAGCACACTTTTCTTGTAGGTTTTTTTTAATGACTAGAAAACTTGTTAGAATGGAAGTAGTACCTCCCAGATTCCACTGGCAATGGTGGCGGACATGACAGAGGTGCTTAACAAAATAAAAACCTTAAACTATACTATTTATGTTCAGAATAGGGGCGTGTGCCTGTTTATTTGATCACTAGTTTATATAGTATGAAGTCATGCTCTGAGTATGTGCTTAGTGTGGACTTCAGCTCTGAGGGTCCAATTGGCAGCTTTATATTGATTAGTCCCCACAAGCCCCACCCTGCCCTGGACCCTAACCTGGTCTCTAACATCCTCTCTAACGACATTGGGTGTCTGTCTGTATGACTTTGAGCCACTCTCCATCCTGGGGGTTCAGGTACGTGACCCCCATTCTGGTTAGCATAGCACTCAGTCCAACACCCAGCATGGGAGTCACTGATAAACAGTTAACTTATGATTCTTTGCCTGGACTTCTCAGAGCTTAAAATGCGACAAGAATATGATTTCTAAGCATTCTATACCACTGAACCGTACCGGAACTTACTTTTCAGCTTGTCATACCTGGCTGGAGGGGTGGTGATGTACTGGAAGTCAAGCACTAATTCCTTCAGAATCACTTCCTGGCCCTGTCGTAGGCCACCAAACCTCTAGTTGTGGGCCAACTCTTTGTTGCTGTTGTCTGAAATAAACTTGTATGTCATTAAAGAATGCAAGTCCACTTCAGTTTTACTTTTCCTCCTTGTATAGCCCCTCAGAGCCACGTGGAGGTCTGAGGGGTAAGGAATCTGAAGGGATTTTAAGTCTCTCTCTCTCTCTCTCTCTCTCTCTCTCTCTGCCTAATTGTAACTTCATTGATTGGTTTGGGTTTTGAATGAAAACACATTCTGTGTGGTTGCACCGCCATTTCAACAACTCAAATCAGGAATAGTATCCTGTTAAGCCCCCATAAATGTGATTCCTTTTTTCCCTCCTATTCTTTATCCTTCTCTCCCTCCATAATGTCCTGTCCCTCCCCTCTCCCTGCCCCACTCTCACCCCATCCTTGGTTTCCTCTTAATCTTCAAAGTCTTTTCCTTTGGTAGGAAAATCACTTCACTTTTTCTGGTTTTCCTTATAATAGTGGTGTCATTAAATATTTATCTTTATGATATTGACTACCTTTGGTAAGCATGATGTTCTCTCATTGTGTCCATATCTTACCGTGTTGTATAGACTCATCAATGGTTGTTATTGATGCATAATGTCCCATCGAATGCATATACCAGAGCTTGTCTGTTCATTCTTCTGTAATTGAAGTTATTGTTGTTTCCATCTTTTTACTGTTACGGAAATTGCTGCAATAAGACCTATGTGTGTGTGATAAGTGGGTTTATTGTGCCAACCTGGCCAATAAACACATGTGGGATTAATAAGGTTGCAGTTTAATTGAAGGGCAAAGAGATAAATGGCTCAGGGAGCCTCGCCTTTCTGTCTCTTGCTCTCTGATGATTGGGCCTGTGCGGCTGCCTTAGCTTGTTCTCTGCCTCAACTTATGCGCTATACTACCTGTGGAACTGTGTTGCTATAGTTTGAGGTGCCTTTGAGACCTGCTTTGCCACACTGCTGGTGTATATGCATCACTTGAGCTGGGGACTGTCAGACCCTGTCATCTGGCTGACTGTTGGTGATCCGCCCTGCTGTTTGCTGCCTGTGGCCAGATTGCCTGAATTGCTCTACAGAAGACTCAGCTGTCGGGTGCTCTAGTGGCGCAATCGGTTAGTGCGTGGTACTTATAAGACTCAGCTGTCTGCTTCCTTGACTTGCACCCAGCAGCCCTCGTGAGTTGAAGGACTGCGAGTATATTAACTGTCTCATGGAAATAAGTTGAACTGAGCCCTCTGTACTGCTCTGTGGATGAATTAGCTATTTATTTCTGTGTCCTGGTTTTGTTTCTCTAGACAACCCTGTCTAACACTGTGTGCATATGTCTGTTTATGTTGTGTTCTTTATTTATTTAGGGTACATACACAGTAGAGGGATTGCAAGATCAAAAGATAATTGTATTTGCATCTGTTCAAAGGAGTGCCATACTGATTTCCATAACAGTTGTATAAATCTGAAGTCCTGCCAGCAAGATGTGAGTATTCCAATCTCTCCACATCCTCTCCAGTATTCATTATTTTCTGGGGTTTGCTTGTTTTTGCTAAAAGTGTCATGTGAGGTGGTATCCAATTGTTATTTGAAATTGTACTTCTGTTATTGCTAATGAACAAGAACATTTCTTCATATGGTGTTGGGCATCCAGATGCCATCTTTAGTAAATAGCCTATTCACTTTTTGTGCACCTTATTTTATTAGGTTATGTGTGTTTTTCTTATTAAGATATTATGGTTTTCTATAGATTTTTAAAATTATCCCTTTATCTTATACACATTGGGCTGATAACTACAAGGTCAGCAGTTTGAAACCAGCAGCTGTTCCTTAGGAGAAAGACGGGGATTTCTACTCCATTAAACAGTTACAGTTGTAGAAACCCCAGGGCAGGTCCAACCTGCTCTATATGCTCATATGAGCTGGCATCGACTCAATGGCAGTGAGTTTAGTTTCATTTAGAATTTATCCATTTCTAGATTTTCAAATTTTCTGGAGCACAATTTTTCAATATTCTATGTGATTATCTTTTTTTATCTCATTTGGTTCTGTTGTCATATCATCCATTTTATTTTTTACTTGTAGAATTTGTTCTTTCTCATCCATTTCTTTTGTTAGGTTTGTCAGTGATTTATCAATTCTGTTAATATTTACAAAGAAACAACTTCATGTCTTATTGGTTTTTTTCTATAGTTTTAAATGTTTCTAATTCATTATTTCTCCCCTAATCTTTCTTATTACTTTTTTTTCTGGTATCTGATAGTTTGTTTTGCTGCAAATTTTTAAATATATAAATCCATTGCCTTTTTCCCTTCATGGTTTCAGTAGAGAAATATAAACTTATCTTGGTCAACTGGTCTTTATATGTGTTTGTTCCTTTTTACTGTGCTGCTCTCAGGACTGTGTCCTTTACTTTGATGTTAGAAAGTTTGAAAAAAGAAAGTTTGACTATAATACGTCATAGTGATTTCTGTTTGAGGGGATCAATTCTGTTTGGAGTTTTCTGGGCTTCTTGAATCGTTATTTTTTATTCTGTCATGTACTAGGGGAGTTCCCCTTTACTACTTCATCAATTATTTTCTCTAGTTAATATTTATTCTTTATGTTCTACGATATTTATAAAATATATATTATTCCTTTTGATAGTGTCCCATAGAATTGTTGGTTTTCTTCAGCTCTTTTGGTCCTTTTTGTTTGTTTTGATGATTTTGTGGGCATGTAACTCACAAATCATACAATTCAATAGTTCAGTCATATTAAGAAAAGTTGTACAATCATCACCACAATCAATTTCAGAACACTTTCTTGTACTCATCATCATTAGCTCCCCATTTCCCCCCCTGCCATACCCACA